CTCTCCACCACTCCGTACGCAACAGGATTATTCATATTATAGCAAGCGCCCAAGAAAACTCTCAAAATGTTAACATATGGAAATGTAGGTCAGATAAACAACTTTAACTGTGTTCTGTAATGACACTGTAGGGAGAACATGGGGTTTAAACTAATCAAGAATTACAAACACTAAATTATTTTAAACTAGGGATGTCAAAATCATATATAAAAACCAGGAAAAACTGATAGACAACCTTCTTTCATAGGAAAAAAGGTTGCAACATCTTGTCTAAAAATAGTTATTGATGACTTTTAGCACCTTTTTATTTGTCTTTATAGAGGGAAGAACAAAGTATTTTCGCATAGAACATTATCTCACTCTGTCATGCAATTAAGTCTACTTACAGCATATGAAATTATGTAACAAAAACACAGAAAAGTATATTGCCAGATTCATCTCTACACGTAGGACTACTGCACAGCAGTAGGCATATGCATCTTTCCAGTTGGCCCAAAAATTAGAATAATTTGTTTTCACTTACTTCACCCAGACTAAGTGTTTACTGCCAACTAAAATCATTTCAGAAAGATGCAGAGTGTAAAGTGGTTTTAACAATTTTACTTGGAATAGCTGGAAGAGTGATTCCATTTCTGATTACTCCAACATTGCAAAATTCAGAAGAAATTGCAAAGCCCATCATTGAAAGTACTTCCCAATCACGGACATTGTTGAGTGTAGCCCTGCCCTGGACTTTATTCCCTTAATGATGATCTCAGTTCCCAGACCTTCAAATATTGATACTGGCAAACAGAAGATAGAGTACAGGTGCTTTTTTATGCAATTGTAGTCACAAACTGTCCATATTACTTCTATAGTCTGGTTACTATATTGGACGCTGACAGATATTCAGGGCCCCGCTCTAACTCAGGGTGCTTTACATAAACACCCTGAGTTAGAGCATCCCCCCACAAGCCAACAGTCATTCACCCATTGGGTTGTGGGGGGAATTGAGGCTGCCTGCACTGACCCTCCTGGCCAGTGGAGAGGGACTGAAGTGCGTAGCAGCAGCTGTGGGGTAGCTATGCCTGGCCTGAGCTGGATGGGGGAGAAGGCGGGGTGGAATGAAGCCCCTCGCCCACCACCAGCTATCCTGGCTGGGGTATTGAGGGGAGCTGGGTTGCATCCCCAGGCACCGGGACTCCATTCCACCCTCCCCCCCGCCCGCCAGGTTGAGTTGGGCCTCTTGTGGGCAAGCCCAGCCTGAGCAGGGGTGGGAAGGGGCCAGGGTGGTATGCAGCCCCCTCACCTGGGGGCCCATCCCAGCTCCCCCCAATACCCCAGTCAGGGTAGTTGGCAGGGGCTGAGAGGCAAGAGGCTCTATTCCATCATGCCTCCTCTCCCATCCAGCTCAGGCCAGGCATCGCAAGCCCACAGCTGCTACTGCACCCTTCGCTCCCATCTTAATCTGTTACCTGACTAGGCAAGAGTTAATTTTTCTCATGATTAGCCATTTTAGAAGCACTCTGCAGCCATGCACATGTGTCAGGTCACAGATTTAGAGTGCTTTCAGGGGCCAGATAACACGAAAAATGTCACTTCCATCTGTGCCCATTATCCTAAGGAAGGAAGGATGGAAAGCATGCAGGCAGGCTTCAAACAGCAATAACCGTAGAGATGAAGAAGAACATATTACATTTGTACTAGTAAGGACTCTGCAGAGCTGACAAAGAAAGAGAGAGACATGAAGTCTATCATCCTGAAACTGAGGAGGTGGGTGGGTGTCAGCACAGCCTATGTGTTGGTATAGTTCTCGTAGCTGAAGCAGAATATGTATGCAGTGCATTGGAGTTGCGTTTCCAAAAACAAGGGGGCTGCTGCCATTCCCTTAGTTTGCTTTCATCACCATCTTCCATAATATTTGGTGCAGGATTGGTGTGAAGTTCTATACTCCCCTTGGGGTCACTCCCTCCCCCATACATTTACAGCTTGCAACACAAGTGCAAATTTGAATGGTGCAAAGGCATGAAAACACTGTGGTATTTTTTCTTTAGTCAGATGGCACAGAGCCTCACTCATTAGTACAGATCCTGTCATGAAGGAAGAATTAATTTCATTCCTTGTTTTGCTGCTAAACTAGTACACATACTGAACTCCATGGATACCAATAAGAGGGAGACAGGTGAACTCCAGTCTGAAATCACGGAAACCCTGAATTACAGGTTCTGTCTGTACTGCTGTCAGATGTGATTGCAGTGCACAAAGGCATACCAAATCTGTTCTTAACTACAGAGCTCAGATATAAACAACAGTGAAGAAGCCATGGCATGGACTTAAGTTAACTATCCTAGCAGGACCCCAAGGTCCTGGGCAGACCTACTTAGGTTTCAGCACTGTACCGTCACCATGTCAACTAGCTTAAAGCTTTCTGGGATATGCCTGTGCACTGATCACGCCTCCCCACTACAGTGCAAACATATACTTAGCTTTGTCTCTGGAATGTGGTCTTGTTTATTGTGTTACACAAGTCATTTCAGTTTTCTGCTTTTGCTTTCCCAGCCATAAAGCAGAGTATAATACTTCTCCCTCTCACACAAGGATATCAGATGTCTAGCTATTGGTTAGAAATAATGTCATACAAAAATGAGAATATGATAGTGTGCTTATTTTATCTTCTGTAATGCCCTTCACCATCACGTCTGTCCAGTCTGTAGCTGGATAAAAACATGCCCCTCTCTACAATAACTTTGCAAATAACTGCTAGTAAAATGACAAACTCGTTGATATCACCTACAAAAAATTGTTAAGAGTTACCCAACCAATGCAGACATGTGCAAAAAGTTTCTCCTCCTTGGAGTTTCATCTGAAAGATCTGAGTACTTTTGTGGTCAATGCATTACTAACTAGTGGAAGTTAACTCCAGGCATGCAGCTATACTTTATAGCTCTTATTAAAAGAGCTGCAGTGAGTAACAGCTTGTGCACTCTTAACAGTTCTAGTGGCAAACTAAGTACTAGGGGTACTAAAAGGTTCTTAGGTTTCAGCATTACAGCAGTCTTAAAGAGTATGCGTCTTTATACTTCTCCTTTGTGCTGTACAAAGGCTGGCTTTCTTCCAGGCAAGTCTGACAGATCTCTGTAGTTTTGCTGTCATAAAAAAGCACTATCATTCATTACACACCTGTGGACCTTCTTCAGTGCTCGGCCTCTCCTTGTTGTGGTCACATTCAAAAGGATCCTGTCTCATTTGTGTTCAGGCAGTCTGCATTCAAAACTAGCACGGTGCTATGATCTGGAATCACTTTAATATAAACAGACTACTACTTCCTTTATTCTGATTCTGTGCGGCTTCTTCCTCTGAAAAGAATAGCCTTGTTTTCTTGTCTGCTACCTTTGAATGATCCTAAACAGAAGGTAATCTACTATATTTACTGAAATATAAGATGACCCTGATTATGATGACACTCCCCAATAATTAGATTCTATATTTGGAAAAATTACAGATTCATTATAATTTTTCAGGTATAGAATCTAAGTATTTGAGGGTTGCCTTGAATCCCACCTCCCACTGCTATAACAGGAAAAGCAGTGGCTGGGGGGAGGTGGTCAGGTAGCCCTTTGCCCTCTGCTCTGCCCACTTTTTTCCCCTGCATTCTTCTTGCCCCAGCTGCACCCCCCCCCAAAACCCAGCTCTCCTTGGCCTCTGCCCATTCCCCCTTTCCATCAGTCTCTGCCTCTTCCCCCAAACTTCCCAGTCTCTGCCCCTTCCCTGCTCCAACTGCCTAGCCTCTGCCTCTTCCCCTGCTCCCCTTTACTGTCTGATGCTGTTTCACCCTGGAACACAGCCTGTGGAAGCTTAGCCCTTGCCTGGCCCTGCAGTAGTGCCAGCACTGCTGACTTGCCTGGCAGGACATTGGCAACGCATAGAGGGTGCACATGGGTGCACCTGCACCCCCTGAGCATGGTGGTGCACCCCCTGCGAAAAGGCACCACTGACACTGCCAGCAGCACCTGCAGGCAGTTGCCATTTGCCACACCCCATCCCTCACCGCCGGCACCGCCAGTGGCATCTGTGGGCAGTCCATGATCACCGCTGGCCACCACCAACACTGCTGGCGGCATCTGCAGGTGGTCGCTCACCACTGGTCAGCACTCCCCACCCCCACCTCCCCAACTGCTGACAGCACTGCAGCTGCCTGCGGGAGCTCCCCACTTACTGCCGCCATGCTCCTGCCACTGACAGCACTGCAGCTGCCTGTGGGGGCTCACCATTCCCAACCAGCTCCCAGGGGTACGTGGCATTCATGGGGCAGGGAAAGGAGTTTCCATGTAATGCAAGTTCAGGAGAGACTCCAACCCCAGCCAGAGCTCAGCTGTACCGGACATTAAGGGGGAGGGAAGGGTTTAAGTGGAGTTGGGGGGAGGCAGGGAACAGGAGGCTGCTGTGGGTCTGACTCTGGCCCTGTCCCGGGCTCAGGGCCAAAGTCAGAGCCACAGCACCTATCCCCCTTCACTTTGTATATGAATATAAGATGAGGGGCTCTTTCCCCCATGCTGATTGAGGGGGGACCTCATCTTATATTCAAGTAAATATGGTATATGGTTTTTCTTGGTTCTCTCTCTGTTTCTGACACTTCCAGAGTTGCTCTAACTGAAGTTTTATTTTTGCTTTATGTTTGCTGCTGGATCACCTCTTGCACTGTAAATGTTTTGTAAATGGTTCCATTCATTCTTCTGCCTTCTTGAGTCCTACCATTCCTTCAAAATTGGTTTTTCTTGAATCTTGAGTATGCCAACATTGTCAATCAGGCATTCATTTTTCCATAGCATCATTTTTGTACACCTTCTTTTGCATAAACATGTTCAAGAGATGTTTCCAACATACACTGAGATGTGTCTCTCTTCCAATCAGCTTTCAAAGGCCTCAAATTCTTTTGCAATTCTGGCAGGCAGTGAGTTTGTTCCTGAGTCCCTGTTTGTGCCCACCTTCCTAATGTGATAAATGTTTTTGTAGTTTTTCAGCAAAAGGCCACCAGAACTCATGGTGATAATGAGAAGATGTACTCTGCTGTCAGGAAGCAAGGTATGAAACCTCATTCTGCTCTTAATAAAAGTCTCAAGTCTCTTAATAAGTCTCTTAATAAAAGTCCGCTGTTTAATAAGACTGTGAGAGGTTTTCTGTGGGTTAATTTTAGTAGGGAAATAGATGTTAAGTCATCCAAATATGATTATTCAAATCCCCAGTACTAATTTAGCTTTAAAAAAAGATCAATTAAAGTTACCTTTTCAACAAAACAGATCAGAGAGAGGCTTCATAAATGCTTTCCAGAAAGAAGTGAATGGACAAAATAACTTTATGCTTTCCAATCAAGCTTTCCTTATGGTGATTAAAATGGAAAATAGGTGTATTTTGCCCTCATTCTAACCTGCCCTATGTCAATAGTGAGAAATTTGAAGTTCTCGTGGCTGCTTTATGACCTAAATAAAATGAGTTGCCAGTCTGAGTCCAGTGGCTGTTGTAAGTGGCCACACCACAAAACCACCATCATAAGTTACTTCACTTGGTATGTTAGAACTTATTTTATTTAATGAGTAAGTGACTGTATTATCCTACCTCTTCCTCTAGGAAATAGGTTCTCCAGGCCGTGGTTACTGAATATTAATTACAGCAGTGTGGGGTAAATGCACAGTAATGAGCTGTTCTGTAAATAAACAGCTCTCTCTAGCGGTATTAATATGTCACTAGCTTACTGAAAAAGATTATTAAAATATAGGAAGCTACTAGGAAATTAACAGCTATTGCTTTTGGTAATGGATCATTTTTTAGTTTACTTCTACAAAGGCTATTTGCATAAAAGTTCAAGTCATTCTGGGGGAAAAATATACCAACCCTTTTGCTAACTAAAGTGTGAATACACTTTGAATAAACAAAATCTGATTTTCTTCTGTCTTGCATCTGCTGTAGTCATTTATATTTATTTTGTACAAACATAAAAATTACCACAGATGTAAAATGGGAGATTCAGGCTCAAAGAATCCCAATATTGAGTATGTTTGAAAGGGAGTAGAATGGACCACAATCATATTTTCTTCTTCATCAATATACCATATTTTCTCACACAAAATTTGCACCTTCTTCCCCCAAACCAATTGGTAGAAATTGCATTGCATTTAATATGAAAGAAATAAGGATCCCTATGGGTCCCGTAACTTGGCAGCAGGGACTTGTGGCAGTATTCATTGCCATGGCTCTGGGAACCCTGGCAATTAACATTACCACCACACCCCCACTGTCAAATTTCCAGGCTGGTGGCTCCCTGCAGAAGATAACCCTTATTATGGCACAGATTGGGGTGGTGTTCAGGGTCAGTTTGTGGCTGGACCTGACATGTATCCCTGGGCCCTGCACAGGGCTCCAAACCCAGTGCTCTGGATCAGGCCAGCACACAGCTAAGACTCACTGCGCCAGATTGGGCCCAGCACGTGGTCTAAGACCCGCCATGCCAGATCAGTCTGTAGCCCCAGACCCAGCATGCTAAATCTGGCCAGCATGCAGGGTCAGTCTCCAGGCCCCATCTAGTGCACAAGGCTGTCAGCCAGCTCAGGAGCAGTCTTGGCTTCCTAGTTTGGCTCCCTAGCTACTCAGATACTTACTCAAACTAATATCTTTATGCTATCTTTTCAAAACAGGGTGTGTGCTTTAATTCTGGGGTGCATTATATGTAGGAAAATGTTAAAAGGTTACATAAAGAACTGATAGTTTAAGCACTTAAATTCTTTCTGTGCTCTATATAGAATCTAAGGTGAGATGACATGAGCAACAGTGGCTTTACACCAGTTTCCTGATTTGGGGGCTATTTCAGCACCCAGAATGAATTAAAGCAGCCTCAAGTCTGTTACAACCTACTTCCATCTGCTTAGAGCCCCCAAATCACCAGTGCCCTTGAGCTGTGACGGTAGCAGCAGAGACCTTATTTTTTTCCCTGTCAGCTGCTCAGAATCTGGTCTTATGAGGCTACAAAGAAATTATAGATTTCTTCTTTTTTGTTTTGTTTTTGCTTACTGTCTGGCAGTTATGATGGCATGAAATAAGTGAAACTCCCAAACAAATTCTAACCAAGTTATAGCAGCAGCTATTGAGAAGCGTGGTACAGTATACTCCACTTGAGTGCATAGCCTCAGGACTGAAAAAAAGTGTGCGCCAGCCTATGCATATATTCAGACTTAATGTAACCAATGCTCATTATGCACACAGCATTCTCAATGCCTCTGATAGTTTCAGGGCTGGTATTAGAAATGTTGGAAGCAAGAGGAGGTAGCAGCCCTGAAACCAATTAGCTCTCAACATTTTTAAGGCATTTAACAAAGTAGCTTTTTAGTAGTTGCTTTCCCATTTCTGTGCTGCTAGCTGGGGTGCAGTTACTTTGCAAAATAAACTGTAGAGGTAAAAAATTGTATGCATCTAAGTGATTTGTGCACTTAATCAATATGAGGATAATAAATGTTTGTTGTATTATAAGCAATAAACAAAAAAGTAGAACTGGCAATTTATTATGAAGCTAAATAAATTATGCACTTATCTGGTATATGTGTAACTGGAGTACACTCAATATGAATTTGAGGCCTAAAGAAAAAGGCCATTAATGGGATTTTGGGATTTGTCTATTGCTGTTCCCAGGTAACGCCACGGTCTATACCTCTGAAAACTTGCCATTGCTATAATGTGTCAGGGCTTGCTTTAGGATTCTGTTGAATTTTACAATTAGTTAATGGTATGGCACAATCTCCAAAGAGGAAGTACAATATAAAGTTAATCTAATAAAAAAGTGAACTAATCAGTCAAATGGCAATGATTTTGAATGTTTTGTTCACTAGAACACATTACTGCAAAAGAATTCAGGCAAAATGCCATGCTGCATTTTTGTATATAGCCGGGCTATAAATGCATAAATGCAAAAGAAAAAAGAAAAAAAAAAAAAGAAAATAATAAAGGTGTATTGTTTTGTGCTTACAAAATTGCTGCTCCCATGCTCTTAATGAGACATGCACTTGCATTTTGGAAATGGTTTAATAATAATTTGTGCTCTTTTTTTAACTTGATACCTATAGACAGAGGTCAAACTGATTCTCCCACTTATACCACATTGAGACACTGCATCCCCTCTGGGCAGGAAGAACTGATCCTTCTGCAAGAACGAGTAAAGCAAGGGACAATTTCTGTGGATGAAGCACTTGACAAATTTAAACAATGGAAGAATGAAAAAAGCAGTTCAGCTATCCCTCAGCAGGTATAATTCTGAAGGCTTATGTTTGTTTTCTGGAGAGTTTGATCAAGAATTTCAAAAATAGATGTCTAAAGTTTGACTTTTAAGTGGAGATTTAGGCATCAAAATAAATGCCCTAATTTTCAAAGCACTATATACCCAGCAGTTTGCTTGCATTGCTTAGGACAGGGGTCAGCAACATACAGCCCACGGGCTGGAGTCGGCGTATGGAGTCACTGGATGCAGCCTACAGCCTGCGGAGCTGCTGCTTCCCCCAGAATCCCTGCACCCTTACTGAAGCATGGGTTCAGCTTCTAGAGGATAGAGAGCTGTGTCGCAGGTAGGAGGTGGCAGAGGAGAGGTGGCAGGGAGAAGCAGTGGCACTGAGGACTCCGTTTCCAGCTGCCCAGCCCTGGTGCAGCTGTAAGTTGCACCTGCACCACATCTAAAGAGTAGGGTGCTGGAGGAAGCAGCACCAACACAGACAGTTTTCAATTATGTATGGCTCTAGTGCAGGTTTAGGCAAAGCCCCCTGTTGCTGATATGCTGCCAAAGCCACACGGCCTGTGTTGAACAAGAGCTGGTTGTTCCAGCTGGTGGCTTGTAATGGTTGCTGGCCCCTGCTTTAGGGTAAAAAACCTTTTACATAGTTTCAGTGAAAGTAAGTTGTTTCTCAGCACTTAGGTACCAAGCTAAGCTGCCTGAACTTACTGTCAGTTAAGGACCTCAACTTTAGGAACTCTTAAATCTTTGCCTTGGTATGTTGATCACTGAAGTAAGCTGTCTGGCACCAAAGAATAATAACTAGGTATTCAAATCCTTCCCCAAATCATTAATCTTCTCTAACTGGAAAAAAACTGAATGTACAGAAGGGGAGGCAACTCCAAAGTCAACAGAGCCAACTAATGAAAGTGTATCTGTTTCAAACCTACCGTATTATATTGGTATGATGTTTTATGTAGATGTCAAAGGGACAAATCCACAATGGAAATTTAGGCACCTTGCTTCTAATGGTATTTACAACCCCATGTCAAGGATTCAGGCTCCGCTACATACTACATGGGGAGAATTAGGGACTTCAGGATAAGATTCAGAACTCAGCATACTGTCCCTCAAAGAGAGTGAATTTCTTTCTCTCCAAAATTGAAAGGGGGGGGGGGGCAATATTGTCTTTCAAAAGCGGTCTGAGGAGATGGCCATGGTAATACCTCCCTTCTACCCCATAGCCCAGTCATTACAGCATTTGCCTGGAATGTTTGAGCCTAGGACCAGGAGACAAGCCTCCTTCACCTGAGGGGAACTTGAATCCACATTTCATGCCATGTATCCCATAATATCCAATGGCTTTGGGGTGCTCCTGTTGACACTATTACACTTCATAAAAACAAAACTTAAATATTAACTGGAGCCAGTCTTCTCCTTCCCAAAAGAATATTCTAACCACTGAGTTATATTCATTCTCTTCCCCACCTCTGTGGCCCAAAAATTAAATATTGCATACTAATTAAAATGTTTTAAAAGCAAAGACCCATTGCAGAATACCCTGTAGTTTGTGGGAGGTGATGTTTAGGCACTCTTGTGGGGGTGAGTGGTATAAGTTCAGCTCTCCTGAGATGGAGAAAGGACTGTTCTAACTACTCAGCTATTAGGGAACGGGGCGGTTTCTTAAACCCTTTTTATGTAAGCGCACGTAGGGATTTTGCAAATTCCAGTCATGCGTAAATGTTGTCCGTAGATGCATAAAGAAGCATTTTGGCAAATAAGTCTCCTTGAGACTCTAGATGTGTACTATATGCATATATGCATCACTTTTCACTCAGCACCCAAATACAGCCATTTTTATATGCTGGCAGCAGCCCCTGCAAAAATGATCACCCGCACAACAACATGAAGTGAAGAATATCATACCCTCCAGATTCTTTAGGCCATGATTCTGCCATTGAAGTCCCATTGAAACATCCTTTTGATCCTTACTTTGAGATGAATTCACAGGTTAAAGTTTGTTCCCTAAACATTTAGTTGAAACAGAAAAGAATCAGTGTGCCTTGTAGGCAGCCACTGGGATTATTCACAGTGCATCTGTTTTGAGTCCGGCTGACAGAATTAGGCCCAAAGGTTCCTTCTGCTACACCTTAGTTCTTGGTTGGCCATAAAATGCTTATATCTGTTTAAAACTTTGAAGAGAGAGACAGCCTAAGGGCTTGTCTTACTGCTAAAATAAGCTGCTTCCCTCTTACCGCAGGGTAACTAATGTGTGTAAGTTATTCAAAGAAAAGAAACAGTAAAGCCAAAAAGACTCCTTTGTTTTAGCATGAGTTTACTTGCCAAGTCAACTTTAGTCAGTTTTGCCCATGGTAAAACTTAAGTGGCCTTGGTCTCATTGTAATTTTACTTCATGCTGCGTAGTTATCCCAAGGTAAAAAACACAATATGCACAACCACACAGTCTTTTAGGAAGTGAAGAAAAGCTGTATGTTACTGTGGATGTGAGAGTGTCATTATCTTCTAGCTCTGGGCACAGCATAACCTGCTAAAAGAAGGAACACTCCTTAAGGCTGCTTGGATATAAATGCTGAAAGTAGAAAGTTCCACCTGCAAAGCAGTATAGGCATTTTTCATAGCCCTTTGAAATGATTTTCCTGCTCGAAGAACTAGTTGTTCAGAATACTAAAAAGCCAACCTGTTCCAGCTATTCATTCATTATTTTTACAATCAACTCTAGTTATTGATTTCTTTTGTTGTCTTTGTGTTTGTTTCTTACTTAAGGAAAAAGTACGCCAGCTCCAAGCCTCCATTATCGGGAAAAGAGTAGAAAAGGAAAATCTGTACGGTAAACTACAATTTAGTAGTATCTCAATACACTAAAGAAATGAGCTTTGGGATAAACATGCCAAGTCTGTACTAGTAGCCTGATCCAAAGCCCAAGTTGGTCTTTAGATCAGACCTGAGATTTGTAAAGAACATTTTATGGTTTATCTCACATTATTTTGATGTAATCCAAGACTTCATCTTTTAGGGTAACACCTGACCTGCTGACAATAATGAGAGTTTTACCATTAACTCCTGTAGGGCCAGATTTTCTCTACTGGTCTCAACTGATTAGTTTTCCTATATTCATTGTATTTCCCATTGTAATATCAGGATTATGAATGGGCTATTTCCAGGAAACAGCTCACTCGATAAAAGCAGTCTGTTGTTGTTTGCAAGTCAGCCATGAATACATGTGGTCTTCAAGAGCTCCTTTGAGTAATCTGTTCTCATTATTTGAGCTGTGTGATTGGTCCTTTATGTTACACAATATAGCTTCTGATTCATAATTATATAGCCTAGACCAGAGGCTAACACACTTTTAGCAAGAAGAATTTTAAAAGTGAGCATGCATAAAATAAGTAGCTTTCATAAGACAGTTACTCAAACAGCTAAAAACTGTACGTTAGTACTAATGCCAATCAGATTTTCAACTGGAATTATTTTTAATGGTGTCTCATTAAAAATAATTCAACCTGCCCTGCTATTTAATTGTGACAATTAGTGTGGAATACTCAACTGGTGATAAAAATCTTTTTTAGATAGAGTTCAACACTGATAGCTTTCTGGAACAGAATCAAATTTTGAGAAAATCATTTTTCTTTTTAAATCAATCTGAAAAAGGTATGCAGAGGGTGAAAAATAGATACATTCACTCTAAAGCCAGAACCAGATTCATTCTAACTGTGCTTTCTCTTCCCAACAGATAAGATCACCATTGAACATCACCCACATGGTAAGCAATACTAGCAACATCTTAGCACAAATAACATCCCAGAGTAGAAACTACTGGACAAAAATGTATCATATAGACAGTTAAGAGCATACAAAGTGGCATACTGAGTCAGACCAACGGTCCCTCTAGCCCAGTGTCCTGTCTCTGACAGTGGCAGAAGTAGATGCTTTAAAGCTAGAGCATTAAACAGAGAGTATATCTAGAGTGATCCATCCTCTGTCCATCACCCTACATGGTATCCACTATCACTGTTTCTGTTTAATTGCTATTAATAGATCTAGTGTCCATGAATTTGTCTTGTTCCTTCTTTCAACTTAAGAGGAAAGGTGGTTAAATCCAGGGGATTCAATTTTGAGCCTAAAGGATTCAAAACTGAGTCTTAAAATTTGAGTCTTAACAGGAGCTGAGAGCACTGGGCCCTCTGAACAGATTGAGTGTCTGACACCCTTTACAACAGACCATACAAACTCCAAGTTAGCATCCAGAAATCACTTCCTTCCTAGGGTTGTTTTTTTTTAATTCAACAAGCAGTTACATGATATAGACTTCATGTTAAACTTCATTTTTGTGTTTTGCCTCCGTCTAGGGTCTCCCTCAAAAGTTCTCCTTTTCCCTCTTTTCAGGGCCCAGTTAATGAACCATACTTCCACCAAAAAGTCAACAGAACTTTTGACATCTTAAGTGAAATTTTGTGGCCTGTATTATTTAGGATGCCACGTTAGATGATTAGAATGGCCCCTCTGAGCCTTAAGATATCCTGTTATATTCTTTTATATCACTCCAGTCCTCTCTTTGGATTAGCATTCCTTCTGTTTCTGTAGTTTCTAAAGAAAGCAGACTAGACAGTCTTCATTTGAGAGATATGTTGTACAACAAGCCCTATAATAGACTGGTATGTATTTGTTTTATCATAGTTCCCATATTTGTTTAATAAGTTCAAAATCATTTGAATATTAGTGTCTCCATATTTCAGTTTAAAAATGAGCATTCTGTTTCTCCCATTGTCACATTTGGACTCTCAGATTTGGGTGCCCCATTCAGGAGACCATGTTGAAGGGAATATTTGGTCAATAAGGAGTATTTTTTTAAATTGGGGAATAGAGGGAGTTGAATTTTGCTTTAAATACTGAAACATAATTTGGAGTTTCTTGATATTGGGTTGAATCTTTGCGCTCAGTGTACTCACTGGAAGTTGCATTATTGTTAGCAGTGAAACTCAGTTTTATACTCCTTTCAGTGTTCTGGCCATTACAATAGGACTTAATGAAAAAATTGCGCTTTGTAAAAAAAAAAAAGGGGGGGGGGGTTCTCTCTAATTTTTTTAAGAAAAAAATGGGTTAATTCCAGTTAATAAATATACATGTTCATTCATACAAGCATCAAATATGGACAACACTATTTCAGTGGTAAAGTTCATGTGACGTTCATTAATGCATGGATATTGTCATATTTTTGTTGCTGTAAAGAAAAATGCAGCGTCCTATTTTCAAAAGTGGCTTAGACACTCAACACTTAGACTTTTTAAGGTATTTAGGCATCACTCTCTTAAGTATTGCAGCCTGAGGCTTGGATCCTTAAATAAGGCTTGAGTGTTTCTTCACTCATTGTTATGTTACCTACACTGAAGGAGGGCTGTGTAATTTTTATTTCTAAGCTTGGTGCGTGAAGTCCAGTCTTTGGGAGAAATAGGCAACTGAGGCAGGGATTTTCAGAACCTGGCCAGAGGAACAGGAGGCACAGACAGAAGAACAGAAAGCGCCATGAGTTACAATGATCCCCCAGGCCCAACAGGCAATCACTGTTGGGTCCCAGGAGTGGAAGATCAAGTTGCTGTTTAGAGCAGCTGTAAGTCTGCAGCATCTCTCCCCTAGCAATGCCCACCCCCTCTCCTAGCCCCGGTGCTGTTTTCATAATGGAAGGGGGGAAAGGGAGCAGAGGAAACTCATTTTGGCGGTTACCCAGCTGGCACTGGAGGGTTGGGTGGGTGGACTGAAGCCTTGGGTGGGGAGGCTCCAATCCCCCCCCACCCCTCCCTCCAGTGCCATCTGAAAAAATCCTAGGCTGAACTCCTTCTACTTCCTTCCCCCTCTCCTATTTTGAAGACCACTGAGAGCAGGCTGAGCTGCATCAGCTCAGGCCTGCTCCTGGTACATGCAGACAGAAGTTACGAGGGTGCCCCATTTTAAAGTATCTTCATCTGAAACCTCATGCAATGCGTGTTCAGATTATTGCAGGATCAGGCCCTTTTAAAGCTCTCAGTCATGCACTTGTGTTTGGTCACAGCTGTAGAGCACTTTCAGGGGCCAGATAAGGCAAAAATTGTCATTTCTGTCTGCACATAGGGTGTCACCTGGGGTGCAGACAGAAATGCAGCTCCCAGCTGTAACTCAGAATGATATTTTCAAAGCATTTTGAGATATGTTACCCCAGACCAAATAGAAGTTCCCTGTTGGTTCAAGGGGGGAGGGGAATCTAGCTGCAGTATGGGTGCCTGCCATTAAGTTCCCATAGCAATGCCCAGGGCTCTCTGCCAGTGCTCCCTGTATTCAGAATAGGAGAGGAGAAAGGCAGCAGAGGGAGCTCATTCTTGGGGCTCCCCAGCTGGTGCTGAGGATTGGGGTGGATGAATTGGAGCACCACCTCACCTTAGGGGGGGCTCCAATACACCCACCCCACCCTCCAGGGGGTGCTGAAAAGCTCCCAGACTGAACTCCCTCCTCTCCCCTTCCCCCCTCTCATTCTGAAAACAGCAACAGGCTGGGAGCTTCTCAGACAGAAGTTGCAAAAGAGGCTACATTTTGAAATGCCTTTATCTGATACCTCATGCAATGAGGGGTCAGATTTTCACCCATTTTTGAAGCTGTCTGCAGCTGTGCACTTGTGTTTGGTCACAGCATAAAGTGCTTTCTGTGGCCAGATTAGGGGAAATTTGTCACTTCTGTCTGTACCCCAAGATATCCAAAAGGAAAATGCCAAGAAGTCAGATAGAAAGAGAGGCTTAGATGCCTAAATGGTTACTATGAAGCAGCTGACTACATTGTCTTCCTCTGTAAACCTCTCCTAGGGTTAGACATATAAGGTATTCAGTCCATTAGACCTTCTTAGCTGCAATAGTCAAACACCTCCCCCACAACTCACTTCCAGTTTAGGCTCAGTTATCTCTTACATTTTCTCTGTGTTTCCCTATGCCACTGATTGTCTTTTGTGTGAAAGCATGATCTCTCTCCAGCTACGAATGGCCTGCTTGATATGTGGATTGGCAAGTAACATATTAGGCATGCTGAGAGCATACCTATGATTACACCCTGACTGGCAAGAAAGAAATCCCTCTTTGAGACCTTCATCTTTAGGCATCTGAATACCTATAGAAATCTGCACCCAAGTGCCTATATTGCTTTGAAAAAAAATTAGCTTCTATCACCCAACTACAGCCTGCTTTACTCCCTGTGTATACCTTCCCATAACTTAAATTGTCCACTTTCATGTTCTAAAAATAACTATGAAATGAATCAAGAAATTAGATATGAATCATGTTGATCTGAACTGTCCACAAGTTGTTACCTTCCAGTGGCTGTTCTGACAGTCTTTACGGAATGAACTGTTATTAGCCCAGTTTTGAGTAGACAAGCTGCCAATTTTGATGGTGAGTTTTATGATGTGGAAAAATCTTAGCACCCTCTTCCCCACTTTTAGCATTGTACCAGGGATTGAGTGAGCAAGTAATGCTATCCCAAGAATGCATAATGTGAGTGTGTTTGAAACAGTATTCTATCGTGCTTTGATGAACAGAACTCTTTTCCATGGTCTCTGTTTACAAAATGGAAACAGTGAGAAGGCCAGATGGAAAACACAAAACATTGAAAATTAATTTATAGATTACGTTTAAAAGTACTAGCCATTTATCTAGCTTTCCCTCCCACTGTCCACCCCAGTCATCACCCCATATTGCAGCATTTCATACAAATGGAGAAGCATGGCAGACTAAGGGTATATGCAGATGTTCGCCACTCCTGAACGCCCAGTCTGTGATCACATGGCTTACTTTAAGCCATGTGATCATAGATCGGGAGTAGTATGTGCAGATATTTGCCAGTACCAGGAACCTCACCGAGATCTCTGGTATAAGTAACTCAGAGTGGGGGGAGAGGGGAGAGGGATGGATGAGCTAGTAGGTCTGCAAAAGGAGTTAGTGGCTCTGCAGGGGGCAGTGGGGGGGGGATCTGTTTAGAGGTGGGGGGGCAGGGGTCTAAAAATAGCCTGGTCAGGGTTTGGGAGGGGGGGGGTGGAAGAGTGCAGCCTCAGGGCTGGGGCAAGTCGGTGGCCTTTCCCAGCCCCAGGGCTGCACTCCAAATGTGTGCAGATGTTCACTAGATTGGGCTAACCTGTTCCAAATCTAAGTTAATTCACCTTTTCAGGTGAACTAATTTAGAACAGAGCCATCATTTTTTGCCTGATTTAAATGCCCTAAATGTCTGCACATATGGGCATTTAGATCAACCTAAGCCTAGTTAGGTCCATCTAAATGTAATGTCTGCGTGCACATACCCAAAGAGTTTTTGGAGATTGTAGTCCTAGGCTAGGGACAGGCAGGTTTAACTTAAACCAGAGTCCCCCAGTATCCCAGATGTTTTGCAGCCCTGGGCTTGGCTAGACTAGGCCGTGCTCTCTGCTCCAAAGAACTGACTGGCCCTGCCCCTTTCCTCCATAGCCAGAGCTCTGGGGGAGATTGCAGGCCCAGCAGGATCCACTTGGTTTTCCTCGCTGCTCGAGCAGGGATTTCCCCCCTTCCTCCTTCCCATCTCCCACAGCACAGACCCCAGCCCCACGGACCCTAGGAAAGTGGTATGTTAGCTAATGCTGAGATGTGTCTGTGTGTGTGTCTCCAATTTCACTGGGACAGGAGAAAAGCAAACAGGACAAAGGCAAACAGAACAGTGTCCGCTTAGGGCTTTTTGGAGCTAATCAACAGGTCAGCTAGTAATGTCCCACCTTGGAACTGCTGTTTAAGAAAAGCTTGAACTAATGAGAGAGGCTTTTGTTTTGCTGATGAGCTGATAAACGCTGTGGTTTTATCAGCCCCCCTGCTGGTTTGCAGCCCTGACAGGTTTGCAGACAAGGAGAGGGAGATTGAAAATGCATCAGAAGATGCACGCACTGCACATATACCACTTTGCCTCAGAGTGCTAGCCCAGGGCTGGGGTTTGGTAATACTCCCACCCCTTGAGCAGCAAGCGGAGAGGAGGGAGGGGAAGTCTGAAATGTTGCAGGCCAGCGGGGGCGGGGTTTAAATGCCTCCCTAATTAGAATGTCCTGCCAGGGCCTGGCCACACGCCCCCCTCAGTTCAGCACTATGAAAGGGGAGGGAGGGCTGCTCTAGCACCCCCTGGTTTCTAGCCTGTGCCACAGCAGGCATGTGCCAGTATTTCTAGAATTAAAATGGAGTGTCTATTTGCAGGCTAGACTAATCTGCAAAGATTGAATCAATTCAAGCTCAGGCTTTTTGAACTTCTGTCCCTAGCTCTCCTGTCATAGTGGTGCCCTCCTGGAAAAGCACAGGCTCAGGGGGGACCTGGTGGCTGCTTGTAAGTACATAAGGGGTGTGCATCAGGACCTGGGAGAACTTCTGTTCACCAGAGCGCCCCAAGAAAAAAGAAGGACCAACGGTCATAAACTCCTCCAAGACCATTTTAGGCTGGGCATAAGAAAAAATGTCTTTACTGTCCTAGCCCCCAAGGCCTGGAATAGACTCCCTCCAGAAGTGGTGCAGGCACCTACTCTGGACTCATTCAAGAAACACTTGGATGCTTATCTTGCTGGGATCCTTTGACCCTAGCTAACTTCCTGTCCCTGGAGCAGGGGGCTGGACTTGATGATTTTTGAGGTCCCTTCCAGCCCTAACATCTATGAAATCTATGAAATCTATTAAACATCTGTATAAAATGTTCTATGGAAGCCACACCTGGGAACAAAATGGTAAATGATCCATTCCATTTACTGCCTAGGTGGGTGGCAGCCATTGGTAATTTTGATTTTTCTTTTCCTCCAAGTTTTTTTCTTACTGGAACTGGACTGAAGTCACTATCTCATTTTAAACAGGTCATCTAACAACCATAAGTTTGTTATGACATCAGCTAGTACTGTAGTTCTTAAAAAATATTAAAGATCAAAGTTCATTGCTCTGAAAAGAAACAAGCTTTTCATAGTCACAAGACAGCCAGTCTTTACCATATGTTGCTATATTAAACATTCTGTACTCTTATTGTTATAACTGTTTTAGTACATTCCCAGTCCTACAGTTTATCAAATGAGGCCAGTTCACCTGCTGTAGTAAAGCAATCTGAGATTATGGGGACTATTTTTTCCCCAAAATTGTGCTGTCTACTATAGCAATAAAATGGATCTGCTTTAATTAACTTTGCCCTAACCACCTGCCAAAGTCCAAATTGCTTTCTCAGCCTCATCCAAAAAGCATTTAGAATAGTCCTGAGTTTCTTTCATATACTGTTCACTTATTGATTAGGTGCACTATCCCAATTACCTGGCTGCCATTCCTGAGCCCTTCATTTCTCATCAGCACCTTGTTTTTATCTCTTTGCTGGCAAGCATCTCAGAAAGCTCACACACTCATTAGTCAGTTGACTCCCCTCTGATAGGAGAGAATATGTTTTTAGTAAAATTTCAAAGATCTAGTAGAGACCAAGTAGAGATGGGCATGAGCTATGAAAACAACTCTTTATTTTGTTTAGATTGACCAATTCATATTGTTCACATTTGAGCAGTCAGAGATAGAGACGAGAATGTAGGTTATGAAATTTGGAACCATTTATAGGATTTCAGACCCTTTACTCATTTGTTATTTAGTGTTAAATATTTCAAAGTGTGAATCTCACTTCCCTCCAGTGAGGTAGCCAAAAAGTTAAGGTCCTTGAAATTAAATACCACAGCAATCACAGGGAAATGGTTTTTGGTTTCTGTCATATTAAATATATGTGCATCAGTCATGATTGCATTTCTTCAACCGTTTATATATCTCAAGAAGCTTTCTTTTGGAAATATTGTTATGGAGACTTGCATATGATATATTTGCCTATTTTTGCTTTTTTATTATTATTATGCTCTGTATGCAGGCTGCTGGTACAGAGGTCTTGCTGTGTTGACACTTAGTCATGCAACTGTAATAAAACCCATATGTAACAGCCCACAATGTAATGGAGTTGTCATGAATTAACCCATATACAGAAATGGGGGACACATCATTTAACTTCCACAGAATAACTAAGACCCATGGATGTTCCAGACCTGTGGATGCCCTGAGATTCATGGCTGCGGTATTCTCAAAGAGGTCCACTGTCTCTCTCATGCTCCCCGACCTCATGACTACACATGTCCAAGCAAGCAGGAGGGAAATTTTGTGCAGTCAGCACCAAGGATGATAACCCTTTGCATCGACCCTCCGCCAACAAAAAACAGTTCATTTTTGTAGAAGAAGCTCCACAATTCCTTCCCTTCCCATGACATTTGTTATATTTCACACTAGAAAAGACAGCATTACTTAAGCAGCTGGCAGAAACACAGAAAGGAGATTGTAAAAAGAAAAAAAAATTAGAAAAAAAGGATTAAAATATTTTTATCAAGATAGTCTCACTCTAGTTATGCCATTTATAAAATTATTAGATTTGAAAGAAGCCTAACTATTCCATGCTGTTCTAACTTATGTTGTATGCATTCATTTTTTTAGTCTCCAAATAGAACCCCAACAGAAAAGGGACAGATGTCTAATTAATTGAGGTAAGAGCATAAATATGTTAGTCATTTTAAAAAGGGTGCTTAATGAAGTATTTCCTGACACAAATGCATACTTATAACAACAGAAAGGAAATGCTACCTTTGTCACAGTTCTGGTGTCAGTGCCACATTTCATGTTTATAAAGATGAACAGAGGGCTATGGTACATTCTCATTTCTGATATACGTTATAGCTTGATTTTTAGCCATATTTTTAGCCAGTCTTCAACCCATACTCAGTAGTGCAAAAGCAGGTTTTCATGCAGTTTGAAATCAAACTGATTTGCAGGAGCTATTAGAAAGTTAGGTGTAGAAAGTGGTGCACTTTTAGGTAAAATTAAACTACACCTTCAAAATGAGATGGGAATCTTTGGAAAAATAGAGTCATGTACACTGATCATACACATACTATCATAGAGAAATTGAATAAAACCCTACGCTGAATACAGATGTTAGCCATCCACATAAAAAAAATACGGACATATGTAGATGAAACGGGGGCCCTAAATTGAAGCGGTGGGTTTTTAAAAATACTGCTTCAATTTAGGGCCCTTTAAACCCCTGTGTCATGCACACACCCAAACTTACCTGCCTGTCTGGTGGTAGGGAGGGGAGAGGAGGGCAAGCTACCAGCAGGCAGAGTGGTTCCTGGGCTGAGGAGGGGGCTGGTGCTTCCCTCCACAGCAGCGACAGCACCCTCCAAGCAGTACCTGCTCTCAGACACTCGGCTCAGCCAATCTGGGGAGCACTGCAGCCGCGGAGGGAAGGACCGGGCCCCCGCACAGCTCAGGCAGGCAGGCAAGCTCCAGGGAGGAAAAAAAAAAAGATCTTGGGTGGAGTCTGCCTTCCCAGGCTGCCTGCACAGGCTTCCTGCAGAGCCCCTGAGCTGCATGGAGCCCAGTGCTTTGCTCCATGGCTATAGGGCAGAAAACTAAAGCTCCTTGGATTTAATACATGTGCAATGCTATTAGGATAGAGTAAACTAATCCTGCCATAGGTTAGTACGTGTAATCACAAGTACTATCCTACGGTGGGGTTATTTACTCCAGCACAGCTCACGTGTAGACGCTCTTGGGGCTGACTGGGGCTCAAGGGTGCTTTAGTGTGGGTGCTGCCTGCCAGCCAGCCCTGCACTGAAGCCCCTCCAGAGCACATTGAGCTAGGTTGGAACATCCTTGGGCTGGCAGGCTGACTCCTGGGGCCTCCTGCCAGTCAGGACTGCTCTGACCCGGCTCAACGTGCTGCAGTCCCAGGTGCACATGTAAACACGATGCCCGGGAGAAATAAACTCTGGTGCGAGATGAACCAAAATGTATTGCTTTGTATTAATTGCACATGTAAGTGCACCCTCAGAATTAACCGCTGTTAATTTAGGAGGGGACACATATATGAGTGTGGGTAAGCATGTGCATGCATACCTTACCTAGAGCCACCACTGATAGAGTGAGCCACTGAGTTCATGCCAGTATTTTAGAGATTAAATAATCGTACTCATCTATTATTCAGAACCCAAAATACGTGGCTTCTGTGGCAATCTAAATACAAAGTTAAATTCCATTTTGAAGTCAGTGAGGGCAAATTTATACTATACCTGGGGTTCCACAAGTGATGGAAGCTGGAGAAAGCATTGACACAGAGCATTTTCAGATGTTTTGGACTCATCCCACCTTTAACTAGCTCTGCACACGTACAGGAGGTGTTTGTACCGCTAGTGGGAAAACAGTAATATCAGATTCTTGTACCTCTGTATCCTGTTGTAGGTGCTCAGAGTCTGCATTTGCCATCAAAAGATGCTGAAACCCAAGGAACAATCCAAACCAAAAGTCCTTTACAGGCACTATAAAGAACATCTGTGAATCTATGAATGTGTGAATCTTGGTGGAAGATCTCTGTACTTTTACTATAGCTCCTTTATATCTATGTATAGTACAAAAGGGTTAATTTAGGCCTGTGTAATATTGCACATTTACAGCAAAGCAGACAATGATTGTAGATAGCCCAGATTTCAAGACCTACTGTTGTTTTGCTTGTGTCTGAGAGGTGAGAGGTATACAACCACTCCCAACTTTAGATGGGGACAAGGAGAGTTAGAACAAAAAACTGGGAAAATTGTTAAAAGTACCTGAGACTGAGACAGTGATCCCTAAAAGTATCCTGTACCTGAGACTGATACAATGGTCCCTAAAAGAGCCAGACTATTTGGGATATGTTGGACTTACCTAAAGACTTAAGCTTAGCATTCCCCTTCCATAAGACAATATGCATTTAGACAGCATTATTTTAACATGTGGCTCCACATCCTTGGGCAATAAGAGATTGAAGAGGTCACTGGAAAGTTATCAACTGAGATTATTTGCTTTCTTTTTTCATTCAAAACCACTTAATTTGACATCCAGCATAATAACTGGTTAATACAGAGATCATTGTGATAAAATGTAAAGTGTACGTACCAGGAGGCTGTTTAAAAGGAAACACTGTCAGACTGACAGTCATTTGGCAATTTGTCATTTAAGTTGCAAGAGGATTGATTATATGAAGTTGCTAATGATTCTTCCAGGAACAGCAAAGTTTGCCAATGTTTTTGTCTAATGGCAAACCTCCTTTCTTTGGGCACTGATGAAGTCCCAGTCTGTTGCATATTGTGCCCAAAGGGCTTTACTTTAATTACATTTTATTGTATTCATTGTTTTCATGTCAATTCAGTCCTTGCCCCTTCAGTTGAGGCTGCAACCAAGACAGCTAGATAGAAACCACCAAGAACTGAAGCGAAAGCGCCAATTAATTTCAGACTCTCAGACACATGGTGCATTTGAACCAATTATCTAGATGTGAAAGTTGCTACATCCTATTGCCAGTCCCATAAAGAAATAATTCCCCTAAGCATGTCAACGGCATTATATAGCTTTATGCAAAGAAGGATAGTCTTGACATCAAAGAACAGGGCTGAGAGTCAAGAAATCTACCATCTTCCCCTGAAATGTAGAAGCCTTTCTGTGCAGCCCTTAACAATGTATTTGTAGCCCAATTTCTATGAGGGCCAAGCATCCGAAACTCCTGTAGGCTTCAGTGGTACCTGTGTGTGTTCAGAAGCAGAAAAATGTAGCCCTCTATTTACTCAGTTTTTAACTAAACTACATGGCAGGGGCATTGAGATTTGATCTTTCAGTTATTATCAGTAAACTTTTCAGTCATTGGAGAATTCTGCAATATGCATTATGATTTTCACTGCCAATGAAACTAATATTGGGTCTTGTCTCAGGAGAAGTAGCTCTAAACGCAGTATTAGTCAACAGGTGGCTAGCAGTGCTAAGAGAGTAAACTGTTCTAAGTTTACAGGAATGGTGGGGTGTAGAGTACCAGTACCACTATATGCTAAATTGTGACACTAACTAGTTTAAGTGTACAAGAATAATCTTCACCAGGGCATTCAAGTCCCCTTCACTTCAGTGAAGGAGAGAGTAAATTAAGAGCTCTCTTTCTCAATACCATGCTGATCTTGTCTTGGTTCCCATTAACATGAAGGACACTGGCTGATATCCTGCTCACTGAAGCACAATACTCAAGCATATCTAAGGTTGGGCTGTCAGTCAATTTCACTGGCACTGCCACCATTGCCACTAGGCCACATAAAGCAGGAATATAAATGTGGAAAGGAACAGGGAAAGGAAAAAGAGAGACCGACCATTTGCAGAGGGAACAGAATACCAGTAGGAGAGAGATGCAGGTAGAACAGAGGTGGGACAGGAGAGTGACATTACCAGAATGTGGATCTTCCTACTGAGACAAGATTTCTTAATCACACTGAGATCTTTTCTATTCCCTGATGGTGTTACTACTGCCTCTCCCCTGACAAGAATAACATCTATAATTCTAATGGCATGCAGCTCCTGGGTGCATATAGGTTAAAAGCCCTAATTTTCTAGGCTACTAAGACAGACCTGTAGTGATCACTGGTTTCAGTGAACACAAGTATATGTGAATGAGAAGAACTAAAAAATGAACTTTATTGTGGATCAATAGGTAAACCTACAGACACTTGGTCTGGCTCTAACTAGGTAGCTAGAAGTTCTCTGAGGGAATTAATCTCCTAATTCCCAACTCCCTCATTCTCCTTCTAGGGAACATCTCTAAATCATTATATAACTTCTATCACTACAAGACCCAACCATAAGTCTACCAAGTTCTTAGCATTTTTTCAGTGTGGAAGGCACAGGATAAGATTAGAGATCTGCATTGTTAGGATGCATCCAAGTATCTTACATGCTTAAGGTTGCTGATAGTTAATGTTGTTTGAAGCAGTGTTTGAAGCTTCTTGCTCTGTGAACTCACTTGCGAAAAATCAAAATGCAACCATGAGCTGACTAGCCAGTGTAGTGCTGCCATTGCTGATGTGTCAGGAGGCCACTGATAATGCAAAGGGGACTTTGGTTTCATGAAGCTGACTGAAATCTGTGAGCTTGGAGCATTTTTCTATGGTGCATTGGCTTTCCTCCTACATTTGCAGACCTCCTCCCACGCCTCACGGTTCCACACTGCAAAGTACCATAGTTTGTGTTAGTTCGTTCCCCTCCATACAGTTTTGCCCAAAAGGGAAACATGTAAAATATAAGCTAACATCAGAAGTTCAAGTGATCTGGAAAGAGGCAGGGTACAGCTCTGGCCACAAGAACTGTTGACAATCTAAATGGAAATTCATCTTGTGGAACCCACAGATGACTATGCTACTGTTCCACTAACAATGTGGAAATACCACCCCCTACAGGAAAAGATGATCTGCATTACAGTGTGTCATGAAGTGGACTCAAGATCTGAGTCTGCCTTAATTTCAGAAAAGACATACAAATTGCTATGGCCTTGAAATTGTCGTCCTGTTGTTCCATGTGAAGCAAGATTTGCCAACTGCAGTAAACAGTTGCCTTGAAGGGAAAATGTCAGCATCCATTATGAGAAGGATCAAGTGGGCCCTTGCCTCATAATTGCCAGAGGACAGTGAGCAGGCTTGCTAGGTAAAGAATGGGTTAAGCCAGTGGGCATTGTAGTAGTTAACTCCCCTCCTGAGGACTGACATGATGACATCAACAAGAAGTCATCGTCCATCTTTGTATGTGTGTTAGGAGTTGCAATAAAGCCCTTTTGAGAGCAAGAGGACTCCCTGCCCTTTCCTGAGCTATGAGATAGCACAGGATTCAAGTTAACAGGAGTGCACAGCATTGCAACAGACACCATTCAAGATGTCCTAAAGAAATACAGCAGTTTTTTAAGAAAGGCTTGGCATATAAAAAACCATATATATAGCTATATCTATATTTACTACAACAGCATGTAACTCCATGTGCATCCATAGCCCTGAAGAACTAGTGATGAATCTCTTGTTGAAGACTTGTTTGTATTGGCTTCACCCATACCTAGGACTCCATCATGTAGACATTTAAACAAAACAATCCCGCGTACATCTGAAACTATGCAGTCAGGTGCAGTGGGTGCCTGCAACTGTCCTTGAGGCTTCAAGACCAGTGTCATACGAGGGTAAGACTCCAGATGACAAGATGCTTTGCAGACATGTCAAGCAGATGCAAGGTCATGATCCAGGTGATATATCCTGTACAGATCCAGAAGATATTGTACTGCCAGCAAGACAAGTGCTTACAAATCCAACACATGTTGTCCTAGACCTGTGGTTCTCAACCTTTTTAAACTCAAGGCACTCCTCATTAAAGTAATGCACCCCACTTAATTTTCACTCTTTTTGACTACAGAAAAATAATAGAGCAATTCTCCTGTTGCAAAGAACTCAGAAAGACCACAACAGGGGAGAAATGTTTTTAACACTATGGATTCCTATTTGAAATTTCTGGGTTTATCTTGAAAACCATGTTTGCACACCTAGCAATGCTAACATTGTGCAGCAACTTGTGGTATCTTCAAAAGGCTCTCAAGGCACCCCAGGGCGCCACTGAACCCTGGTTAAGAATCACTGTCCTAAGTCCATCAACTCAAGAACTGAAACAACTTGATGCCATCTCAAGTGACATGATTCTATCTCCTGAATTAAGGCAAGTCAGCACCTGGCCCAAGTACTTAAAGGACTATGTCATCTAGTGCCTGAGCTCACTTGCAATATAGTAAACTGCTCTCTTATCTCCTTTTGTTCCCAGCTCATAGAAGGTTAGTGGAAGCTATTTAATATTAATGCTACAGGAGCCTGGCCTGTAGCATTAATATTAAAATTCATCTGCTTTATAGTTGCTAGAACATTAGTATTTATTTAACAACTATTTGCAAACAGGCAAAGGGCAAAGCTAAAAACATTCTGCAGTAAAAAGTAGGAAACAAGGATAATTCCATGTGATTTTGGCATGTAGTAGCCTATGTTTGTGACCTTAAAACAGAAGTGACAGAAGAGTTGCAAAGAATAACATTTTTACTGGCTGAGTCTACATGAGACACTGACTGCGCAGTAGCTCATTACTACTGAGCAGTAGCATCATGTGGCACAAAACATGACGCAACACTACTGTGCAGCAGTAGCAAGCTACTGCACAGTCAGCATTACCTAAAAGCTGTTCAGTGATGCTACTGCACAGTGACTCCAGTTACTGCGCAGTCATTTAATACTTGTGTATACAAGTACTAAATGACTGCACAGTAACAACTGCACAATCAGTGTTTCGTGTCTCATGTCTCAAATCTTCTATGCATGTCCTGCATGCAGGTAATGTGTTGAAATACACTATTGGTCACAAAGAGAAGAACAGTATTTTAACTTTGGCAAATCAGTGCATTAATGTAACCAGCTTAATACCATATTTTCTTATGTACAACACTCTCCCAAATAAGATACATATCTTGTTTTTGAAAGGCAGAAGAAGAAATGATCGAAGAATGAAGAAGAAATGATCTTTCCTTGACATACTGATAAATATAGTATTTACCTAGGGAAAACACAGACAAGTCAAGAGGAGCAAAACATTATGGCTGCTCACACCTAAAACATAGATAGATGATTCTATTCTCCCTAGCATTTCACTCTAAGTCTATGGCCAGAACCTCAACTGAGATATATGTGTAGCTCCATGAACTTAATGGATATGTTCCCATTTATACATGCTGAGAAACTAGCCCTTTCCTGTCAGTTTGTTTTGCAAGTTTGGTGTGTGATCATCATTATTATTATTTTATACTGACTTTCTCTTGTTGCACTTTTCCTGAGAGGTAGCAGAGTGAGTGTAACTCATAATATATGGATGAACAAAATGCTAGTGAGTGAAGCTGTATTCAAAAATAAATCTTCAAAAGCAAGGGAGAGTTTGTCTCCAGCAGCTATCTTCAGCTCTTCCTACATGTGGTGGTCATTCCTCCACATCAATCTGCATGTAGGCAAAAACACTAGCAGAGAAGAGAGTCAGCATGTGAGGCAGGGAGTAGAATTTTGCTCTTGATATTTTATCTAAATATTGAGAAATACTGCTTTTGATTATATACCAACCCACTAAAACACCGTTTATTCAATACTATGCATTTTCCATTATTTCCTGCAGCTCAGTTCTTCATTTGCTTGCCTAAGGACATTCCACATGTCTCCAATCTACATCCCGACTGCAGTTTGATACATAGCACGCATCTAAGAAAGCAGCTATGCTGTCATGACCACAGTTTTGACATCTTCATCCTGATAAAGTCCAGCATCCCTAAAGCTAGCATTAATAAAGTTTCTCATCAAGTCAGTGCTAGATTTTATGCTCTTCTCCTTGCTTTTTTATCTCAGTTGATCTTCTAAATGAGTGATTAAGAAAAAATAAAGATGCAGCATACCTTGTTTTGTTTAAGACTTTACCATTAGTTTAAATATTCTACATAACTGCTAGAGATCTAATGTTAACAGAGCTGAATGTGAAGTTATAAAACTTTTATTTTCCATTTAAAACCATTTTTACATAAAAATGTACTTCCAGTTTTTACAGCAACTTGCCTGTTTTTGTAGGAAAAAAAATAATGATATTCTAATGAGAGGCACTTTCTAAGAGCTATCAACCTATATAAGTCTGGATATAAATCAGCACTAATTATCTCCAGCTATTGTCATGATTATAAAAGTAATGTTTAGAAGAAAGTTTTATGTTTGTGTATGTGTGTTTAATAAGGTGCCCAGGGTAAACTATAACCAAGAACCAAACTTTAGCCTTTATTACACTGATGCAACCCCAGTAAAGCATATGGGACATATCTACACATTCATTAATTCACAGTAGTTACTGCACATTTAATTTAGTACTTGATTAATGAAGTACTAACTAAATGTACAGTAACTAGAGTTACTGCGCAGTAGTGCCAGCAAACACCTTTTTTAGTGACACTACTGCACACTAGCCTAATAATACTGCACAGTAGTGTATTAGCACTGCCTGTGCTGTGATGCGCTACTGCTCAGTGTTATTAGACTACTGCGCTTTAAGCATCTTGTGTAGACGTGCCCATGGAGTAGTAGACATTACCAAGCAGAATTTCACCCATATTACAAAGTATGCACGCACTTAGCAATACATTCAGATTTAAGTAAGCATTGCTGAAGACTTGCTAAAATGACCTGTTTCATCCACACCAGAGAAATACACAGCTTTGTATATGCAATGCTTATGATAGCCTGCATCATAACATGCAGCTAACTATTAACTTAGAAGCTCTTCCACCATACTACAACTAGCTGTTACCAATAATTAATTTACTGGATTTTCAGAGAATATCGTTTCGTCAAATCTTGGAGAGTCTAAGAGGGGATGGGGAGGACATTGTTTTATTTTTGGTTTTGATTTTTTAAATTAAAGTATTTAAGAATCAATCATATATATCACTAGGTTTAGTCCTGTGGGTTGTTTGCACACTGTTCATAGCAAGCCTCCTATCGAGTGTTTAACATCCTGAATTTACTAGTCAGGCCATGTGGTTGATCAGTTAAGTCACACAAGGCGTGTCTACACGTGCATTTAAGCATGACTAAATGTAATGTGCATTCAGCTAAAGCACATTAAGCAATTTTTGGTAGATGTCTACCTGTGCCGGGACTTGACACTGAACTTAGTCCCAAAACCCTGCAGCCCGGCCAGGTAGGGCAGACCCGGCACTAAATTTAGTGCCAGGTCGCGTCTACGTGTGTGTTAATGCACATTAACTAATCACACCTAAATGTGATTTCTGCATTTGCATGATGTCGTTTCTGATCCCCAACTGAGAGCTCCAACTGGAGCACTTCACATGCAGATGCTATTACTGATACACAAGTATCCAAACATGGGTGTTTCTCCCTGAACGCTCAGCTTAAAACACCCGTGCCAAGTCCAGTCAAGTCACAATCCAGAGGCGTATATGCTAGGCTTTTTTTTACCTGCTGTTCACACAGCTTTAGCTAGCAGCTATTTGTGATCTGGGTTAGGTTTAAAATAGAGTTCAGGCTTGAATTTGACAACAGTGTGGTCCTGTGAACTGTTCTCCTGAAGCTGCCACCCACACAGGTGCATACTTTTCAGAGGCTAAGGGCTAGCTGAGAAGTTTGTCAGAGTTGTTTTGATGAAAAATTGGATTGTTTTAACTAAATTAAACATTTTGCATGAAAACGGTTCTGTTTTATGTGGAAAAATTCTAATTTTTGTTAAAAATTTGAAGAGCCAGTAGTGCTCTAGAATCAGGAAATTATCAAAGACTATAATATTAATTTTATAAATTACTTCCATATCTTTACACCCTTCTTACTAATTGCATTCTTTGCTAAATGGGATGCTTACAGTAATTATAAGGTCAATTAAATTAAATTCCCCAGTGCTGACAAATGCAGATATTTCTCTGGATATCTTTCCTGACCAGTACACCAACAGAGCATTTAGTCTTGACCCAAAAAGCATAATACAAAGGACTTAAAACTGCATAAAAGAGCTGCCTGCTCTGAAGATACATCATCGAAAAACTGAGAGGCACAAGACTGTAATTAGAAGCAGAAGGTTCTGTAAGAGGGCCTGAAGTATTTTAGATTTGCCAGGGTCTCCATATGGAAGATGAGTGGCCCGCTGGTAAGCTAGGCAAGCACAGAAATCATTCATTGTCTAAATATAAGGACTTTGGCAAAATGCTCTTGTTCTAAATAAATTATATTTTGCTTTAAGAAAGCTGTCTGGTCATTGGATAACCCTGTAATTGCTCCTGAGACAACTGTAGCAGCTGTTGAGTTTAAGTCAGACTTGCAGAAGTCACTACACTGAATTACAAGGTCTATAGCCTAAGGGCCTCGAGGGAGTGAATCCCAAAATTCCTGTCTGCATGCAGTGATGAATAGATTACCAACACTTAAGTGGGACCCCTCCAGGGAGCCATGAAAACATTAGTTATGCCCAGGAACTATGGTGCTGAAACCTTGTTTCTGCTCAAACATGTCAAAATTTTCTCCACAGAAGTTGCAATGAAAACAATTTTTATCCAGTGAGATGGGAAAGAGGAAGGAGGCACCCAGTATTTAATGGTCATTTCTATTTTGGACTGAAGATTTTAATTCTGGCCATTCTTAAGTTACCACAGAGGATGCTCTTTTGGCGTATCTGCTCTGACTATTACTACTTCCCTGTATATCACTGTTTCCCATTGTCGGTATTGCAGATTTTTCAAAAAGGTGTGCTCATGCAGACTCATGCTGATTAGGGACACAAGTTCCTAAAGAGGGAAGTAAAGTGCTCTGAATCAAGCACTCCATTTTGGCCCTGTTGAAGACAGATTCTTCCACTAAGCCCTTATTGTTTGTGGCCAATTTAGTACTTTCAACTGAGAATTTGCACTACTGCTATCTTACAGAGTTTGGCTGGAACTGGCTCAGTTGGCTGTAAACTTGCTTCCCAGACCTTGAAAGGACTTAAAAGCAAGCAATGCTAAAATCAGGATGGCTCTCAGAGAATGTTTACTAGAGAGCCAAATAGAAATGTGTACTTGGCATTAAAAGTTATATCCAAACCCAAGAACAAATTATAGAGTAATACACCACCGTAGCAAACTACAATTGATTAGGCAGCTCAAACATAGCTGAACAAGGGCTGCTCTGGTGCAGCTCTACATGCTGTGGAGTGGCTGGCCAGGGCACGGGTAGTACTATTACTACCCAGATATGGACTTTATTAGTTTTGTGCACCCTAAGAGAGGCATGTGTAGATGCTGAGATGTTTACAGTGGATTTAATTAGTCAGCTGCACAGTAAACATCTCATGTGACTCCCAGTTTGTATTGCAGGGTTTTAATGGCCCTATTTTCTTCGTCTGCCCTTAATCAGGCACATTGAAGCAAGTGTATTTCACCAATATGCAGAAAAACTTTTTCAAATCCAATTACATCGTTATTCAGAGAGTTGCTGGGTAGCTTTACAACTACCACACAACACATTTTATGTGGTTGTGGCATACTAAGCTCACACTAAACTCAGGCTCAAACACCAAACACATTTCAACAACCATGTCTACCCAAGAAACATGCAGACAGCATCATAAACACGGGCTCGTATGACAGCCGGTGCTGTCAATCCTTTCAATTAACATTGAAGGACATTCAATTAACATTCAGTTAGCATCACAGGCTAAAGCTAATATCCTGGCAGTAATATCAGAGGAGTATGATATTGTGTGCATGTTCAACTAGGATACTATCATTGTTATCATATCCCCATGCTGTATTATGGGAATTAAAATCACCAAACACAAGACGCACAAAGGACCTAATAAATCTTGCCTGACCATCCAGGGGAAAACACTCATTGTTAAAATAAGACATAGGCAGTAGGGCAGTGCGATTTTTGCTAGACCTGACCTGCAAATTGAGCAAGTTCCTACTAGCACAAGTGAGAATGACATCAAAACCACCACACTTAGCCTTAACAATATCACTGTAACATCTATATACAAACCACCATCTAGTACTTTCCAGTGGAACAACATACCTGACAATAGCACACACAAGTACATCTTTGTGATTAGCAACTTTAACTTCCGTAATACAGTATGGGGATAAGATAACAACAGCAACAATGGCTCCTAGCTGAACAATGGGCAGAGAACAGTAACCTGAATCTAGTACATGACACTAAACAACCCAAATCATTTAATAGCCGGTGGAGAAGTAGATATAACCCAGACATCAGCTTCATGAGCAGTGGAATCAGCCATATGTGCAAGAAAGCAGTTCTGGAGCCCATACCTCACACTGAGCATCACTCTATAAGCATCAAGCTAGGGTCCCCAGTAACAGTGCAAAACACTCCCTTTCGTAGTTGTTTTAGCCTGAAGAGAAGCCAATTGGGCAGCCTTCACAGAGGCAATGAAGGAATCAGTCAGGGATATTACAGCTACCTATGAGAATTATAACAATTTTCTGAGTATTGTAAAGAGAATTGCCTGCTGTTCCATATCAAGGGGCTGCTGCACAAGATATATCCCAGGCATGTCAAGCTCAACATCTGACCTGTATGTATGAGAAAGAATACCATCTTGACCCCTTCTCAGAATCCACTATTACACTGAAAGAAATCCTAATAGACAACATAGGAATTGAGAGATTTAACACCTGGAAAGAGATGATCGAGGACACCAATGTGACACATAACAGCAAGAAAGCTTGGGCGATTATAAGAAAACTAGGAGGCAACAACATCATACCTCTGATTATATCAAGTGGTACTGCCAACCAGGTTGCACAACAACTGCTCAACAATGGGAAGTGCTCA